ATGAATTTCGAAACAAAGGCTGCACATGTTTCTGTGCATTTAAGGTCTATTATGTTCCTGCCTAGGCTAAAAATGTCCTGTCTCATCTCCAGTATACATATTAATGCATGGGGGGGGGGACTATGATAAACAAAATGGTAGGGACACCACATCACATACCAATTCAGTCATACTTTCCTATTGTAACAATAGCAATTCTGGTTATGTTGAAATGTTAGAATGCCAAAGATATTCTAAATGATATGCAGAATAGTGTAATCTTGTCAGATAGTCCTGCATTTCTGCTCACCTCAGTTCTTGTCTATTCAGACGTGCTGACAAAAGAGCCACCGTAGATGACAGGATCTGCAGCTGTCACTTCAAAGATGCAGATAGATTGAATGGACCCACTTTCAATGGCCCCAGTCATCGAGAACATCTTACTTTTCCAAGTCCAGAGAGAAGAACAAGGTGGGTAATGTATGCTGAATCTCGATTTCTCTAGCATGCCACTCAGCTTTCAGTTGCTTGCCTTTGCTCATGACTGCTATTTTTTAGTTAAGCTCATTTCAATGTACAAACCGAGAGATGAACGCATGCAAGAGCTACAGTTATCAGATCATCCATTTTTTATTTCTGGCCTTGAAAGAGACAAAAATGTAAACATATTTGGCATCAGAGCCTCACTGATCTTTATGTCTGGAAATTACAATTATGAATTCCAATTGATATGCAAGCTAAATAGGGTGAATTTGTGTTGATTTAGATATAACTTGTTGACCACTCCATTGAGTTTTTATTTCACTCACAAAAACCTTTTGTTTCAACCTACAGAGCAAGAAAGCGTCAGAGGTCAGATAATATACAAGAACCAGTTGATCCTATGATGCATGAACAAGAGCATGTAGAAGAGGACCTTGTTTCACATCAGCAAAATCTCACTGACCTGGAATTTCTTCGAATGGAAAATGACATGCTGCGGAGGGAAAACAACAGATTGGTGAAGTTGCGGAATCCACCCCTCACATATGACACAATACAGGGAAATGAGAAGCTGGTGACTCATTATACTGGTAAGTTTTCCATTCATGTGAACTGCAATAAGTTTATCTTAATATAATTAGTGATGGGAGATAGTGCCAGCTTCCTGCATAGTCCTGAATTTTAAAGTTTTCATAGAGTTTTTATTCCATTTCAGGCTTAACTCCAAGCACATTTGCTACTCTTTGCAAGTTTGTATTCTCAATGAAGTTTACATATGAGGATGGATGGGATGTTCAGTGCCTATCTTCAGAAGACCAACTCCTCCTGTCATTGATGAAACTTCGGAATGATTTTGCATTCATTGACATTTAATTTCGCTTTGGAGTGAGTGAAAGAACTGCTCGTGTTGTCTTCTCCACACTCTTGAAGGTGCTTCATGTTGGACTTTTTGAGGGGATCATGTTGAAACATGTCCCTTCTCTGGAGAAGTGTCAGGCATCTGCTCCTGCATGCCTGAAGGATTTCCCCACCTGCAGGTTCATCATTGCACTGAAATGCATTGCAATCCTCCAAGGAAGGGGATGTATGTTAGGAATACTGTGTATTCCCATTACAAGGGAAGCAATACATTCAAAGCCCTGATTGCTATTGCACCCAATGGCACAATTGCTTTCGTGAGTCCCTTATATGGAGGATCAACATCTGACAAAGCCATCACCAAGCATTCTGGCTTCTTGGAACTGCTAAATCCTGGGGACCTTATCTTGGCAGATAAAGGCTTTAGAGTTCAAGATATTATGCCTACTGGAGTGACAGTGAATGTACCTCCCTTTTTGTACAGCCAACAGTTCACAATAGCCGAGGCCAAAGTGACCACAGCCATTGTCCGTGCAAGGATTCATGTGGAGCGGGCTATTCAGCGAATCAAATGCTTCAGAATACTGGATGAGTTCATCTGTTATGAGAGAAAGAATGCTAGTAATATTTTTCAAGTATGTGCTGCCCTAGCCAATTTGCAAGGTCCCCTCATCAAGGAAACTGAAAACTTGTAATGTGCATTATCAACTATTGTATCTGATGTCTGGATCCCTTTTTAGATTATCTCCATTATTTTTTAATTATTTAACTCAATTATTTCTCCCCCACTATGATAGTCACTCCCATGCTCATGTTGTGCCATAGGATATGCATATTT